AGGCTCATTTTATTGTCCTTTAAATCATTTTAACATTTAGCTAACGTTGTAATGATTTACCTTTTAAACAGGGTATATAAATGTTGAAAAGACCCGGCCCATTAACATTCAAGGCAGGCCCAAATTGTGTTTGGAAAAGGGACGGTCATGACATGAGCATCTTGTCAAACAGAAAGATGACAGTGACTGTGAGTGAGAATGGGTTTTGTACTTGCGGCGAAGCAAACAGTGATCAGTGTCTTGTCAGTGTCTGACAATACCATTTGTTCAAACAAGAAGCAAGCAATATTTATGCAAATACCATCTCTCTCTATATTTATTACTAATACTAGGATCTACTTATACTAGTTGCTTGTATTTCTCTTATTTTAAGATAAAAACGTATATCTATATATGACTGTTGTGTCCGGGACTAGTTAAGAAGAAGGTGAAGAAGAAAGAATACACAAACAAGCGTGTGTGGTTGCTTCACGCAATACATTTCTCTTTGTCCTTTGTATATACAAAATACACTTGTGCTTTGCCGTTGCTTCCAAGCTTTAGTCATTAGACTCTTCTTCTCATTACTGTTTACTGATCTTTAATCATGACCCCACCCACCATTAACATCTGTTTATACCTCTCTTTAACACACCAAGTAATTAAATACCATCTTATCTCTCCATTTAGAACACAACTCACTCAGTGACTAAAATACAAACTAGTTCTCTAGTTTCTACAACTAGTTTCTACTTGTATTATGATTGTTATAGAGTGGAAAATAAAATGTTTTCAATCAAGATTATTGATGATATATATGGTATCAAAATTCGAAACTATGATTGATATTTTATTTTCAAGTCTCTAGTTTTTTTTTCTGTATTATTTTTGTGACTAATAGTTTTAACATTTACAAATCTTCATTTTATAAAAAAAAAAAAAAATTACAAATCTTCCGTTGTTTTCTTCATTTTCCTAGCGGAGAATTTATTTGCCCTTTCTCGAATAGAGCCGGTTCTGTGTGTGTGTGATTTTAACTATTATGTACAGAAAAAAAAAATAGAGAGATGGAGTTATAGAAAATCTAATGATTATAAATGACCCACCACCAAAAGCAAGACATGATTTTCTTGCCTGACACGATCCTCTATGTTCCACATTAACTAAAAAACATTAATTCATAAATTAACCTATCTCTCTCTTTCTATATATCTCTTTGGATTGCATATATAATTGGTCGACGACGACGGTACTGCTTCTTAGCCTAATCCTTCCCAAAACAGAAACTCTACGGCTTGACGGGAAAGATGAGCGGTGGTGGAAGTCCGTGCGGCGCATGCAAGTTTCTCCGGCGTAAATGCGTGGCGGATTGCGTCTTCGCTCCCTTCTTCGACTCGGAGGAAGGAACGGCTCATTTCGCGGCGGTGCACAGGGTTTTCGGGGCCAGCAACGCCTCCAAGCTCCTCTCCACGATTCCGGCTAGCCGGAGACTGGACGCCGTCGCCACGCTTACTTACGAGGCATTGGCTAGGTTGAGTGATCCAGTCTACGGATGCGTCGGTCATATCTTCTCCCTCCAACACCAGGTAAACTATAGCACAATATGCTTTTCTCGTTTTGGTTTTAAACTTTAACACAATGTTTCTTC